TATCAAAGCAATTCAATGTTGGCCGGCTCGATCCCGAAGGGACCGGGTTTCAGGGTTAGGAATTGAAGTGATGAGATCAGAGAGGTAGTCTTAGCTGGGGAATGTGATCTCTTTGACGGAGGGCGCTTTACTTGAAACACGTGGGACTGGGGCACAGTCTAGTCAGAGCTGCGAGAGCGGTGTGTGTTAGCGAGGAGTACGAGTCCGGTCCTCGTGGAGTCCCTCAGCTTCAACAGGGTTGGGTAGGGCGTTTTGCCGTTGTAACACTCCATCTTATGAACGGCTTATTTACTAGGTGAACGTTCCTAAAACCCGCCGGACTTTCTGTAAGAAGTGTGGCAAGCACCAGCCCCACAAAGTGACACAGTACAAGAAGGGCAAGGACTCTCTCTATGCCCAGGGTAAGATGGTTTCTGCATAATTTGGTTTTAATGTGGGATTCATATAGTAGTATAATGAACACCACCAGTCTTTTTTGCCCTCTCTCGGCTTGGGTGTTAGTACATGTGTTGGGAAACCTAAGATAAAACCCGTGAGAAGAGTTTTTCATAGGCTTCTTGTGATTTATGATCTTAAGTATACAGTAACAAAACTTTCCCCCCAGGAAAGCGGCGTTATGACAGGAAGCAGAGTGGCTATGGTGGGCAGACTAAGCCAATTTTCCGGAAAAAGGTTAGTGGTAATTACTATTTGGCAGTGTTTGCCACATAATTGTGGTAAGGGACATGAATTTGTCGTGTATAGTCTACATACTTGACATTATAGGTATAGCATTTGTCTCAGTGAAGTTCTCATAGTTGCCTGCAGCGACATATCTAGTAGGCAGTGTAGCTGTGAGTGCAACTCAGGCCTGGCCCCAGTCTCTAAGGCTGCGCTATTTCAGTGTTTTACAATTACTTTTTTTAAAGAGACATGGGTCTTAGTCCCCCAACATCATTGTAGCACACTGCAACATCAGCCTCCCGAGTAGATGGGACTTCATGTAGGGGTCACCAGGCCTGGCTGATTTTTCCATGTTTTGTAGAGTTTGGGTCTCACCTTTGCTCAGGGAGGCCTTGATGCCTGGCCTCAAGTGGGCCTCCCAAAGCACTAGGATTATGGGTGTGAGGCATTATGCCTGGTCTGTCTTACATTTTTTAAATTTATTATTATTATTTTGTAGAGACAGTCTCACTTTACTGCCCTAGGTAGAGTGCTGTGGCATCACACAGCTCACAGCAATCTCCAAGTCATGGGCTTAGGTGATTCTCTGCCTCAGCTTCCTGAGTAGCTGGGACTACTGGTGCCCGCCATAACACTTTTTTTGCAGTTTTGGCTGGGGCCGGGTTTGAACCCACCACCCCTGGTATATGGGGCCAGCACCCTACTCCTTGAGTAACAGGCTCCACCCTTTTTTACTTTTTTTTTGCAGATTTTTGGCCAGGGCTGGGTTTGAACCAGCCACCTCCAGCATAATGGGACCGGTGCTTTACTCCTTTGAGCCACAGGTGCTGCCACCCCCCCTTTTTTTTTTTTTGAGACAGTCTACCTTTGTCTCCCTCTGTAGAGTGCAATGGTGTCATAGCTCACAGCAACCTCAAACTCCTGGGTTCAAGTTTGTCTCTTGCCTCAGCCTCTCAAGTAGCTGAGACTATAGGCACCCACCAAAACGCCTGGCTTTTTTTTTTTTTTTTTGGAGACAGAGGACAGAGTCTCACTATGTCACCCTTGGAGTGCCGTGGCGTTACAACACCTGCTTATTTTTTGAGTCTTACTTAGGCTGGTCTTGAACCTGTGAGCTCAGGCAATCTACCTGCTTTGGCCTCCCATAGTGCTAGGATTATAGGTGTGAGCCACTGCACCTGGCCTATTCTTTCTTTTTTGAAGAAACAAAACAAAACAAAAAGAACCCAAAAGGGAACATGCCCTGCATTCGCCTTAGGTGATTTGGCTACCACATTAGTACATTGCCTGGAACATAACATTCCCACTAACACAGTGCAGCCTGGCATTCATTTGAGTGCAATTAATGGTTTAATCAGGGTGGTAAAGGAGTGCTTGAGAAACTTCTCATTTGAGTAACTTGTATAGAAGACAAGGGGGTTTACTAGGTTTTGGTCTTTTGAGAACTACAAATTAGCAGCAGTAGAACTCTGTTAACTTGCGTTACATAATTCAGTTGAAGACACAAATTCTAGGCCTAATTGCAGGCACTCTTAACACATGTTTAGTTAATAGTAGGCCTTCAGTAATAAACCTATTGAATGAATTACAAAAATTGTGTTTATTTCATAGTTGTATGGACTTGGTTTACTGGTTTTTGATTATGTGAAATAACTATGCAGAGCTGCTGAAAGGTAGGCCACAAGGTCAAGGTCACATGAGGAGTGCCCATTTGATAGGAAGCTCTATAGGATGTTTGATCTCAATGAGAGTTTTGACTAGTAGAACTTGATAGCAATTGGATAACCTGCTACCTTTGCTAGTACTACATTTTCACTTAAATTCGCTGTATAAAGATGAATATCATTTGTAGAGCTTTGCTTTATGTAGTACATAACTCCCCATAGTCCTATTTTTGAAGAAAATGATTTCCTGTGATTTATAAAGGCTTTGATTTTTTTTTTCCAGGCTAAAACTACAAAGAAGATTGTGCTGAGGCTTGAGTGTGTGGAGCCAAACTGCAGATCTAAGAGAATGCTAGCTATTAAGAGATGCAAGCATTTTGAACTGGGAGGAGATAAGAAGAGAAAGGTATGCAATTATTGGTGGAAGGTGTAATCTTTTCTATGTAGCTTTATTATTTGGAGGAGTGAACATTTCTATTCTCTCATTGAGGCATGGAGCTCAGGCAATAACTCTTCATAAGTAGATGTATAGCTGAAGGTATAAGGCTTGTTGATGTTGGTTTTGCCTTAAGTAGGAAAGGAAGGTTGAGGAGACTTGATATATAGCACAGTGATCATTTTAGGATAATGTTCTTGGTGGAATATAAGTTCTTTGCAAAATTAAACTATTTTTTTTCTGTTCTGTTACAGGGTCAAGTGATACAGTTCTAATCATCTTTTGTTTTATCATGAAGACAATAAAATCTTGAGATTATGTTCACTTGATCTGGCTGCATTTGGTCTTTGGGGAGGGAATAAATGAGAGCCATCAATAAAATTACCCTCAGAGAAATTTGTGCTTTGTGATTTTACTAGGTACTACTTGTTACAGATTGAATCTAACTGGTTGCACTCACATCAGATGCATCTGATAAGAGTGCAGCCAGTTACCTGGTTTGGATTTTTAATCCCTTGGGGCTGCTTGAACTCCATTTGCTGTTAAACAAAGGTTCTTATTTGTCCTGTTACCTAAGTAGAGACCCTTCAGGCTGATGAAGTCAGTAACACATCCATTAATACTTCAGTCATTTAAGTAGAGCATTTTGGCCCTGTTCTCTAGGCACTGTATGTGTATGTATTGTCTCTGAACTTACACCCCCTTAAACATTTTGACATTGGCCCCCTTTTAAAGTAAATATTTTTATCACATTGAAATAACTGCAAGGAGGGGGGTGGCACCTGTGGCTTAAGGAGTAGGGCACTGGCCCCATATACCTGAGTTGGGGGGTTCAAACCTGGCCCTGGCCAAAAACTGCAAAAAAAAAAAAAAAAAAAACAAACCCAGATGGAACCAATATTTTGGCTCATGGCCTGTGACTCAAGGGACTAAGGCACCAGCCACATAACACCAGAGCTGGTGGGTTCGAATCCAGCCCAGGCCAGCCAAATGACGGCTGCAACCAAAAATTAGCTTGGCATTATGGCAGGTGCCTGTAGTCCCAGCTACTTGGGAGGCCGAGGCAGGAGAATCGCTTGAGCCCAGGAGTTGGAGGATTCTGTGAGCTGTGGTGCAACAGCACTATCCAGGGTGACAGCTTGAGGCTCTGTCTCAAATAACTGCAAGGAATATAATTTCTGGTGTAGTATATTAAATTCCCAAGTAGAATCTTAACAGATAATCTATTCCTTTTTTTGAGTGTTTAGTTCTTTGTAGATCTGGAGCAAAACTATGGAGAAACCTTGTTAAACACATTTTGATCATTGAAATTGCATCTCACCAATGTGGTATAGTTTTCCAAATTAATTTATCTGGATGAGTATATCTGGGTTTAATAACTTCAGTCTTTATCAATGGAAAATACTGGTTTCTGGTTACAATGAGAGTAATTGATAATCATCTGATAAGAGAATTATCCCAACATGCACTTTTCGTCTTCTGAATGGGCCTTTTGGTACTATTGTACATCAGGATGGGTAAGATGTGAGATGTATGCCTTATGTAAGGGAGCAGCCTTGACTACAGTTCTCAAAGCAAGCTAACTGTAGGAAAAGTTGGGTAATTAGAATGTCTGGAAATTACACAATTTTTGTTTTTTGAGACAGTCTCACTTTGTCTCCCTCAGCAGATCTAGATTACAACCTGGGGATTTGAATTTGTTAAGATTATTTCTGCCTCACTATTTTTCATTTCCATTGCATTAAGATGGTAAGCAGAACCATCTGACTACTATAGGCAGCAGTGTACTCAAGAACTTGGATCTTGGCTGGGTGCTATGGCTCATGCCTATAATATGAGCACTCTGGGAAGCCCTGGAGGATGAGCTCACAAGTTCGAGACCAGTCTGAGCAAAAATCAAGATCCCTGTCTCTGTTTTTTAAAAAAATATAAAAACAGAGTTGGAGGTTGCTGTGAGCTATGATGCCACAGCACTCTACTCAGGGTGATAGCTTGAGACTCTTGTCTGGGGGGGGGAAACTTGGATCTTAAGTCCTGGGTCTCCATTTTACAGTGGATAAAAATCTGTCCCAGAAGTTTTGCAAGGATTAAAATTAATCAATATACCTTAAACATCTAGAACTGTGCCTGCCATATACATAATAAGTATCCAATAAATTGTAGCTATTATTTTATTTCTTAGTCATTAGTTCCAAAAGCCTTTTCCCAAACCATCCTCCTTAGAAGTATTTTTAAAATTCAGCTTTGGAAAATTTTATTCAAGGAAATATAGAGCTTTTAAGTGGGAAATGAGGAAAAGGTGAAGGGAGTGACACATTTTTAAAACAAACTGTTGGATGCCGTGGTTCTCTTTCCTATCCGAAGCAAAACAGTGCCTGTGGGATTTACCCATATTTTTAACCTTGAAATCCATTCATGGAACCCAAGCTCCCTTTTCACAGGGAGGATCTGTGTGATGTGGCAGGCAGGATTACAGGCCACTCCTCGACCCAGGGAATCAATTGAGATGGTGTAAGAGCGAGGTCCCCCAGTTTCCTGCTTGTTTATTATAGCTACAGCCCAGGCTAAGTCTGAGAGAGGTCGTTCCCACACTTCAAAGCTGTCAACCTGAAAAGCCAAGAAAACAAGTGTGATTGCTTGGTAACTAGCAAAAAGTTGCCTTGTTAGTTTGACATTCAGTCTTCCTGTCAAAACTATCCAGCACTTGTAGAAAAAGTTAAAATTCTGTAGAATATTTTAGAAATAAAATTAATAGTTCTAGCAAAAAAACATCATTAGTGATTGTAATAGCAAGATCAAGGGAAAAATGTTCACAAAAGCTCAGTTCATGTCTTCATATGTAACATTTAGGCTCAAGACAAACTTAGTATTGGGTATAAAACCGTCTTAAAATGCATACCCAAATTAAGTATTTGGTTAAATTGTAAACTAGAGAAAGCAAGAGAACATGTTTTTGGCCAATTCTTGTTTTCTCCCATAGAACATTATTTACCATACCTTTCTAAGCAGGTACCCTTGCTTGCCCAAGGGGTCCTGGTTGATGGCAATTACATCTTTATCTTGAAGTAGAGCTTTGGCTTGCGGGCTGATGCTTCGGAGGTCATTAGACATGAATAAAGGAGCTGCCATGATAGCCCAGAGGGCCATATGAGTTACTTGCTGATCCCAGCTGAGGCCAAAGTTGCCAATTACTAACTGGGACAAAGAATAAGAATTCAAATGAGAGAAAATGAAACATTTTGTAAGTTACCTGGGTAACTCATAGAAACCACTTTCCATAGCACTCTGCTCTAAAAGCTCTCACATAAAGCCTCTTCCTGGGAACTTTACTTCTATTTACCTTGAATGTCAAATAGGAAACAGGCCTACTGTGGGATTTTGAAGAAGGAGGCTTCAATTTTTTACCATATCTGGGTCATTCCAACCCCCTGGTCCAGCAACACCAACAATTTTCTCCTGGTTAGAAGATGTCCAGTCCAAAATACTCTTCACACTTTCCCAGGAATCAGAAATATCAGCAAAACTTCTCCAGTGATTGCAGTACTGTCGGATTTCTTTGTAATTGGGCTGTGAAAACAGATTATGACTCTGTTTACTTTCTACTAACATCCTTGTGAGATGAAAATAGTCAATTTAAAGGAAGCACTTGTAGTCTTCTCTTTATTATTATTTTTGAGACAGAGTCTCACTATATCACCCTTGGTAGAGTGCCATGGTGTCACAGCTCACAGCAACCTCAAGCTTTTGGGCTTAAGTGAGTCTCTTGCCTCAGCCTCCCAAGCAGATGAGACTACAGGTGCCTGCCACAATGACTGGGCTTTTTTTGTTGTTGTTGTTGCAGTTGTCATTGTTGTTTAGCAGACCCGGGCCAGGTTTGAACCCGCCTGCCTCAGTGTATGTGGGCGGTGCCCTAACCACTGAGAAATGGGTGCCAAATCACCGTCTTTTCTTCGGTTTACAGACTGAAGGTCTCCATCAGGAGGTTTAAGCCCCTTTTTATTTGTTTGCAGTTATTTTTTTTTTTTGGCCAGGGTCAGGTTTGAACCCTCCACCTCCAGTATAGGGGGCCGACACCCTACTCCTTTGAGGCACAGGTGCCGTCCCTGGAGGTTTAAGCCCTTTAAATGGAATTTTCTTAGATGTTTGCTTCAGAAGTAGGCAAATATGCTCAGCAGGATACACAAAGTTTCTTAAGATGTTGAAGAATAGGCAAGACTATTCTGCAGAACCTGCAGAGGTTATGAGGAAATAGTAGGATTCATTCCATAAATAACTATTCAGCACTTCTCATAAAGTCACACAAGATCTCTGCCCTTATGGAGCTTACACTCTTGTGGAGAGACAGATAATGAACAAGTCAACAAATACTTCTATATAGTGCTAATCTCTTAGAAGGAAATTAAATGGGTTAATGTGGCTCAATTCATAATCGACAGGTCGTGGAATTTTTTTTTTT